TGTTTGTGAAACATCCTGTGCAAATCAGACATTCATGGGGGTGTGAATGTAGCATAGAAAGTTGTGGTCAAATGTGGCGGAACTGTTGTTTACTGAATCATATGAACGCACATTTGAGGAAGTAGAGAGACTTTCCTGTACTGTCCCACTGCCTGTGTGTGTCTTCTCCATTATGAATTAACCTCTCCACGATGAAGTTGTCTGTCCTCTTGTGCATCTTGGGAATCGGTATTAATATATTGTTTTCATTATTAGGGACATTTTTCAAGAGAAGCATCGAAAATATAAATGCGAATTTGACTGCATGTTTTTTCCCACCCCACATAGCCTGGACTGGATTCTGTAGAAGTACAGAAGTCAACACCAATGATGTCGAGAAGGTGAACTTGGAAATTTCTCTGGAGGTATGGGAGATAATCTTGAAGTAATAATAATAATAATAATAAAATATGATAAGTTACACGTGAATTATGTAGTGTTCATCTATAAGAAAGTGCAGCTCTTTGCAACCTTAAAAGACAAACTGTAAAAAAATATATTGTGAAAAGTTAGTGTGCTGCATTTAAAATCACACTTCAGTAAAGGTACAGATGCAGATTTACGTGTCTAGTCTTGCCTGCATATTTATAATCTCTTTTTTTATTATTATTATTTTAACGGACACTGTGTGGAAGCTATGTTAAAGGATGCATGTGGAGTCAATATCACCTTGACCACTGATTTTTAGCTCCTTTAACATTTATTTTTGTCGTTCAGCTTCCTGAGAAGACTTTCCTTTTCAACTGGACTCCAAATAAGGTAAGCAGTGGGGGAGACCGGGGATAGTTCACATGTGACAGCAGAACTGAGTTGGGCATGCACAGGATGAGTCACATCATTTGAAACTTAGCCCTGATTGGAGAAATTGGAAGTGTTACAACTGACCCACGTTACAACTATCACCGATCTCCCCTAAGTGCTTAGGTAGTTATCCTTGACATGTGTTTCCTCTGTATCGCGCCTCCATTTCAACCATGGTGACCTCTCACACATGCAGTAGCGGTTTTTGAAACGGGCGACGTCATGCCAGCGCATATCGGGAATGTCGTAGGCACCGATTGGTTTTCTATCACCCATTTGCTGGGAGTAAGGGCACCCTCCGTTTGCGAGGTGCGCCTGCTGCTTGCTGCACAGAGAGGAGAGTGCGTGATCCTCGGGTTGGGGGGTGGCTGTTCATACTGGAGTGCAAAATTAAACCCAATGGAAGATGGACAAGAAAAGTTCAAAGCCATCAGGTGCTCAGTTTAGAAAAAAGAGAAAAGAAACGAGCAAAAGATACGGATAAGAAGATGTGTCATTGGATAATGGCAGGTCATCCTGAAACAATCAGAATACTTTATTAATCCCTAAGGAAATTATGTGGGTTATAGTTGCTCCAAGAAGAAATGGTAAAAATGGTAACAGTAACAGACTAAACTCCAAACAATACCTTATGTTACAGATTTTACACATTTAAGAAATAACACTAACATATAAAAAAAAAGAAGAAGTTTAAAATCCCCCTTAAACAATAAAAAAAAAAAAAACGTGTTCTCAATACGCTAAAAACCCTGCCGGCAGAAATAACTATACACTATTAAAACAAAGTTACACAAATGTCTCCCATATGCTAAAATTCCCCTCCCACAGTACAATAATCCCACAGTCCAGCCACACTCGGGCAAATGTTTCTTATCTGAAAGGGACAGGAGAGGAATTCCTCTTCCCGGATGGAAATCTCGCCGGCCAGAAGAACAAAGAAAGGGGCTCCTGTCTCAGACCTGTCTCCTCCTGACAGCGCGTCACCGCACAGCCCCGCCCCACTCCACACCTGAACACGGCCTCCCTCGTAACACCGAGAGATGCAGGCAGAGGGGCGCCCTGCTGTGGATTGTGGCCATCGCCACCCACTGTTGCTGTTCCTGCCGTTGGGACTGGATCGCCGAACGACTCGTGGCCCCCCACAGTCAGGCAGCAGGTCCTCAAACACATGTGCGGGCTTACACGCGTTGTTGTTGTGTTTTGTTTTGTTTTGTTTTTTGCTCAGTGCTCACCTTTCGTGCGTCGCTCTCTTGTCTCTGCGCGCACTCAATGGCTGTATCCCAATTCAGGGCCTGCAGCCTTAAAGTACGCAGCCTCAACGATCCTCAAGGGCCGCGTACTTAAACATTTGCACATAAATAAGTGACATAATAGCGCCACTGTGACGTAATCGGCCTTTAAGGCTGCAGACCCTGAATTGGGATACAGCCAATATCCCCTTTAACAGGTCAGTCTGGCGGCTGATAGGCCACCTCGGGGGAACGCCCCCACCTCACAGGTGCCTACTTAGTCCACAGTGGATTAGAAGAATATTGTGCAACAACACTAAAATACATAATATAAATATGAGGATAAAACTGTGCAATATAAATATCACAATAAAATCATGCAAATAAAATCAACACTATGTACCAATACACAGATTGATAAAACATAAAAACACAAATTTCCACTGCGTGACACATGGACAATGAATATTAGTAATATTGTCAAGTGTATTAAATCCAATAAATATAAGTGTTTTTTGACTCTTACAGCATCTGATATTGAAGCTGAAGTTGATCTGTAATGAAATCCAAGTCCTAATAGCCGCATGCTGTGCAGTGAAGACACACCTCGAAGAATTCATGGCTGAACTCAAAACCTCTTTCCATGTAAAGATGATCTTTGTCAACACAACCACATTCAAGTGAGTTTAAGTAAATACGTTTTGACTTAGCAGTTCAGTGATACGTGTTCACTTTGTGCATGTGTGTTACTGAAATATTTTCTCTTTTACTTCTTTCCAGTTATACTAAATTACTCGTGCCACTTCACTTGAGCATTGGGAAGTGAAGGTTACACTTCCCTATGCTCAAGTGAACAATTAAAAGCATTGCCTAATATTTTGCACATATCTGTTTGTATCAAAACAGCTCTGACACTTTACGCCACAGCGATGAATCCTCTGGTTGTTTCCTGTGGTGTCCTGGATGCGGGCAGCTGCTCCTCAGGCTGCTGTTGGTTCTCTGGAGATCGGGCTTTCTTCGGAGCATCCTGCGAAAGCTCCATCAGATTTGGTGCACCTGGAGCCCACGTCAGCGCCTTGTGCTCTTTGTTGTGTTCCTCGTGCTGTTTCTGATTACTTTCTGTTGCTTCTTGGGGAATGCTGTCCTGCTGAGAGAGTGCAGCTGTCATGGGGGCATGTGCTGGTGTGCAGCAATCTTTAGATCTACAGTATGTGTCAAAGTAACGTTCACATGAATGTAGGATGGAAAGTTCCCCAGCAATGTCATTATTCACTTCAGTTTGAGACTAGTTATAACCACCATTATACATCCATCTGTTCAAATAAAACTCCTAAAACATTAATTGAGTTACTTGCCTTCATTTACTTTGCAATGTCTGCTGTGGTAATTTCTCTCCCGTTCATACAAATGAGTACTTGTGTTGCAAATGTTCCTGCTGGTGAAGGAGTGTCCTTTACATTATGGTAGCCATGTTCATCCTCCATTTTTTGTCCACCTGGACGCTTACTGTACTTTAAATTTTATACACATCATATTAATTAAAAAAAACAACAAACAGTTCAGAGTCACTGTGACTGTTAGGATTTTAGGATAGGATATTGAATTCTAATATACACCATAAGTAAAACACTTATTTATTCACACCATGCCTCTTTGAGACAAGAAAACAGGAAATTAAAATGAATCAAGCCATAAAACTAATATCTCTGTGATTAAACTTTGAAATAAAGAGGCTGGATAATTGGCAAACAATTGGCCACTCGCTCTTCATTTCTGGTGGTTTGACAGAACATTTGGTGCAGTGGGAAAGTTTTAATATTCTGAATAAATATCAAATAAAGGTCCTGCTTTGAATTAACAGGTATAAAAAGTCAGAGCCATTGAAACTATTATGGATTCTTTAAATCAGTTTCTTCCACTCATACAGGTTAGTCCAGTTTATACTAATGCTATACTTATATATAAGTATACAATCTGCTGTAGTTAATAAAATGGATCTAGATGCGGTGTAGCAAAAGCTAAGGTAACACTGGCCAATAAGTTATTCTTAAAGGTGTGGTGGGTTTTGACACTGGTGTCTTGTCACATGTAATTGGATGTAGTGTAGCAGGTGAGACTCGGCATACCTGAGAAATGTGCCAGAAATCTGTGAATATGTTTACTGTCAGGGCCACAGCCAACAGTAATATAAAAATATCATCATGCGAATTACAAAAAAAGGAATCTTATACTAGCTGGAACACCAACTAGTAATCTACAGAGACCAACACTGGACTTTCCCCTGGATCACAGCTGCTACACTGACAGACAACCTTTAAGCTCAAAAACAGGCCTTACAGGAAAGAACAGAGAAGCCTCAGACAAGCCAGTCCTCTATGTCCCAATCTGACTCAAGATAAGTGACAACGAGGGAGTCTGCACAAGAAATTTAAAAGACAATTCCTTAAATATAAAACAGTAAAACCAATGCCACAAAGGTTTGCTGCCAGGTGGAGCTTTATAGTCAGAAAGGCCCAGATGAGTTGCATTTCTGCGGCGAATGTGTGACACATGTGAATGCGTAATGGGCATCACAATATTAAAACAACATGACCTGCACTGCACCTGCTTATAAACGACAAATACCTATTCTAGCATATGGTAAAAGTGTCCACATATGATCATTAGATATGCATACTTATTATTAAAATCTGCATCAGTTACACACTGTTAGCACAACTGATAGATGTTAACATTAAATACATGTTCGCTGCTCTTTAAAGATGGTCATTTATTTCCTCAGTCCGCTGCTCTCTCTTCATGAATTCCTTTAACATGAGCTGCAGCATCAGTCTGAGAGGAGTCAAATGATTAAAAATTAATCCACCAGGACACTTCCCTGAGGATCTTGCCTACGAACATGCTGAGTTGAGGAAAAAACCACAAAGATCAGAAATCAGGACATTTCTCGTTAGTAGGTTTAGGTTTGGTTTGAAATGGCTGCAAAGCAAGGACTGTCAAATGCTCGTTTCTGCAGGAGAAATTTGGGTTTGTGTCCAAGTAAGTGGCTAACAAAGTTTCTGTGTTAATGAATGAACAATGTTTGTACAAGAACCCCAGGAAGTAATAAATAGATCAGGTCTAAAGAACTGAGAGTGGAAGGCTATTATTTATGGTCACTGTCGTGTTTACTCAGCTTTTGAGAAACATAATAATATAAATGCCTGCATTTGTCTAAACTATGACACCCTCAGGATTACTCATTCTGCCATTTTCCATCAAAGGTGAGAAATAAGCTTTTACAG